GCTCGTTAGACAATTGCAACAATTTCTGACACACTCGTTTTTACAGACGTACTATCATATAAAAACACCAGCGTGTATTTTAAAAAATAGTTTTTAAATTTTTTTTATTGCTAAAATACAAGGCAGCGTGAAATCCTCAGCACTAAATGGTATCACCCTGAATTATTCAAGAGATACCTGGTGAGATTTAAAAATACATCCAATTAAAAAACAGTAATATTATATCAAATATTCAACCATTTATGTAACAGATCTTCATATGTAAAAGTAGATCATTTGTGAAAATACTGATAAGGCTGCCTACAGTTGTGTTCTTTTACAAGACCTTATTTAAGGGAACTAATGTGACAATATCACATAGTTGACCTCTTGTGTTTATCTTTGAATTAAGAATTAAATTTGTTTGCAAATGTGGCACATCGTGTTGTGATGAATAACGTCTTTGACAATGAAGAGATTGCAGTTGCTGTCATTGTACACTGCAACTGAAAAACAAATCAGCTTCATTTAATTTATTATACTAACAAAACCTTAGTAGTTATGAATGAGAATGTGGTAAAATGAGAAGAGTGATACTTCTCATTTGACCAGATTTTAAATATATATACTGATTTTTTGTTATGTCAAATTTAGTTTTTGAGATTACTTAGAACAGGGGAAAAAAGCATATGTAGTTACTAAATTGTCAAATGTAATGTGTCCAAGTTATGCAACATTACAGACATTACAGATTTTCAGACCATTGAAAATGGCGTTTTACGCGGTACGCAACCATCATGGATTGATGTTCACCGTACATTTTGTCGATTTCCAGTTGAGATGAGATACTAAACATGATTTTGCCCAAACTTACAAAAGTGTCATTATTGCATCCAGCCAGTTTTGTCGTGTTTTAATACTTTCCGGACCCAATCCATCTGGGATGGCACAGCTGTACCATAACCATTTTTTTGGTTCGCAAGTCAGAAAAATGTCCTATCTGAAAAACTAGCAATCTTCCAGTCGTGACCTTATCATTTACGCCACTTGAAACGCCACTGACAGTGGCCAGTTTGGTCTCACAAATATGTTGCATTACACAACGTCTCATACTTTCACGTAGTCTGCGACAGTTGGTAATCAGTCCAACGTCTCTCAGATAGTACTGGAGAAACTGATCATATGTTACCGGTTTGGTTTTGGTAGTTTTTTGGTTTTATTTTAATTTGGGGGAGGGGTCATTTTGCAGCTTAGCTTGTGTTTTTAGTGTCTTATCAATGAATGTTGAACCCCACAACAAAAACGAAACGGCTAATATACGCCATTTTTTTCTTCAACGCCTTCAAGCTTCTCATCCTGTACCAGAGCTTCGACAACGAAGAGACGTGAAGGCTAAACGTTAACAGAACTTTCAAAATGGCAGCTTCTGGTAGAACTAACGTCCAGAGAACCTGAAAAAATGAAAGATCATTATCAAACTTGGATGTACAGGAGAGTACGCACCTACCTGGGCTCAGACAGAAGGGACCGGGCGACATGGGAAACCAGCGTTTCATCGGTATCCACGAAGCAGCGAAGAGACGTGGCTGGACGCACACGTGGCTCAGATCAAACCAACCACTGTCCTCGGTCCTCACGCCATTCTCTGTCCCTCCATCCCCCTCCAACCGCAACTCATCCTATCCCGTACAGCTTCTCCTCCTATGTCCTCCATCTTTTAAAGATCCTCTCCATTTGGTAGTTAATGGTCCCCTCTGAGTGCCATCTTTTTCCCACGCTGTCATTCCTCTGCGTTTTTCCTCTCCTCTTCACTAAAACATGTCCTCTTAAAAAATTAAGCCTTCTTGAGACATTCCCCCAGTTTGATTTTACTTTCACGTGCAGAGCGCAGGAAAAACTCCACTGATCAGTGGGGTGCAGTGAGGAAAGAGAGGGGGGGGGAAAGTGTCTATAAAAATATAAACAAATATGAAAAGCCTAAATGTACAATGTACATTTCAGAGCTTATGCTGCTAACAGAAAAAGCAAAACTAAAGGAGCAGCACTGTAACTCTTTTGCACAGTTTGACAGCGCGGTGTGGCTGCACACTGGGGGGACAGAAGCATGAGAATGAGTCGGTGGGAGAAAAAACTCATATATAAATAAATAAGGGAAGGATGCCACTGTTGCTACACAGAGCGAGGGGCTTAGTATTCTCCTGAAATCCAATTGGTCGGCTTGTTGCCATGTGCTCAGCAGACAACAGAGATGCTGCTAACAAATCAAGGAAATGTTCTAATATTAGACTGTATGTATCTAGGCAGCAGGAGTCCCTGACCTCTCAACTCCGCCAGCGTTACTTTCCACTTCACGGATCAGCATAATGAAAGAAGTGGTGTGGAAGTAACTGGTTATAAAAAAAAAAAATGTTACGGCACTATAGACAAAACAACCCCCCTCCCCTCACCTCTACCACCCAAGCACCCTCGTGATGTCCCAGCCAGCACAGTTACAGTAATGGGGAAAACAGATTCATGTTCTCTCTAGAATTTTTGTATTTGTCTTTTAAAGCATTTTGCTTCTACCTACAGTTTGCACATGGTGTTGATGAAACTTATATATAAGCAGCAATGCAGCAAATCAGGTCCATGCATTAAAAATTAAACGAATTGAGTGCTGAGGGGGGGAAAAAAAATAAAGATCATCTGCAATTGTGCCCTATTTACATTTGTGGTATGACTGATGCTCAGTCATCTCTCTAATATGTCTTAAATTACATTACTACTGCATTTCTAGCACATTCAACAGAGTTGGGACAGTTCCTTGTTCTAGATGAATTTGTGCTCATTATTAAAAGCAGGAAACAGAAATATTCATATCATAAATATTATTATTTAGACTTCATAAACTCAAACATTGTTTGGTAGTTAGAAAGGGGTGTGATGTATTTGCCTTTTTTCTGTTTATTTGGAAAATATGATTTCCTTAATAATATCAACCATTTTTAAAGATGCATTTATCTAATATGTTCATTATTTATCTTGCTTATCGCCCTTTTACGCAGTCAGTAATAGGCATCAGATTCGATGCATGCAAAAGGTCTGAAAAGCATTTTCCTCTTTACACATGGCAGGTATTATTTACTGTGATGTGCTCTGGTCTGCCTGTGCAGGGTTGTATTCATTTCAGTTGTGAAGTCTTATCCAACTTTAAAAGTGGGATGAGGACAGATAAAAAAGAAAGACAGACAGAAGAGTAATCTGAAGAAGTAAAAGGAAGTTGAAGAAAGAGGTAATAAAGAGGGGTAAGGGGAGTGAAGGACATGCAAGGCTGAGAAAGAGGGAGCAAGCATAAAAGGGGGATGAGCAGCACTGGACTGAAGTTTGAAGGGTGAGGGGGAAGGTTATTAAGGCTTGCTGTTTTTAGTTGTGACAGGCGATTGCTTACACAGCTGGCTATCTAGCTGAGAGGGAAAATGAGGCATTTGTTAGAAAAAGGAAAACATTGGAAAATAAGCAGTGAAATAACCCGGTGTTTAGATGGAAAGAGTTAACAGGTATTCATGAATATTTATCTGCAGCCTCCGGCAGCTCCAGTGACCTGGTTAGACTCAACGTCTGGCCACAGCCCTCATGGCGCCTACATGGAAAGTGAGAGAGCGGTCTGAAATGAAAGACGATTAAACACAAGATTAAACCTCACTCAGCTGACTGCCTTGTGCTGCGGAAGAGGCGTAACTGCTGATTGTCCGGGTATGTAGACTCAATCTTACAAATCAATGAGCAGGACTGCTTAAGAGTGAAATATACAGTCTTTATCTCCTCAGGTGCTTGTATTGCTAGGCCTCATTATTAAATAATGCTGATCACAACATTTTAATACAGAGACTAGAATACACCTTTGACATAATCATCACACTATAATGATCTTAGCTTATGTATGTTCCCCCATCTTCTCCTACACAATTGGAGCAATCGTGATGAAACATTGCTTAGGGCACTGTGAATGCCATCATCTATACTGTGTATACAAATACTTTATACAGATCCCACAAAAAGTTCAGTTGAGCACTGAACCAACATGTGTGCATACTGCACGAGTTTGCTAGTTAAAGGAAATGCACTGAATGAATTTGAATCATCGTCTATCTCATAGATTCCAATTTTTCCATATAAATGAGAAATCTCACACAGAAGTTAGTCATGGAGTTCCACAGGGTTCTGCACTAGGACCAAGACTTTTTAGGCTATGCGTACTTCCCTTTGGTAATGTTATCAGAAAGCACTGTATGTTTTTATCTATGAAGTCAGATGAGACAATCAGGAGTACTAACAAGGATTACAGAGAGAGACCCTAATCCTCAAATATCATCTTATCTTTATTGGGTCTATATTATACCAAGAATTGAAATTAAAATCCATCTCCTCGCATACAGAACTATCGTGTTCCATCATATCTTAAATACCTCAAAGTACCACATTATCACAGTGGAACGCGTCACACTCAGACTGGAGGGTAACTTGTGGTTCCCAGAATTTCTAAATGTAGAATGGGAGGCAGGGTTATCAGTTACCAGACCCCTTTCCCAAGCTCCCAGTTTGGATTCCTTGACCTCAAGGTCCAGGTCAGAAGTCAAGTTTTTCCAAAAAAAATCTTGCAAACTCAACTCAAAAAGGATGTCACCTAGAATTTTTAAATTGATACCATCTAATATCAGCTTTTTTAAAAACTGTGTTCAAACGGATTAGTCCTGTTTATTCCCACTCGAATGTAACCGTGTAGCTCCATAGTTCAGTGGTTTACCTGTTTGTCTAATTAGCAAAAGAGCTCTCATTCAATTCTTCTGGTATTAAAAACAAAAAGATTATAGCTGCCAACTCAAACATGTGGCACTCCTTGCTTTGAAACACCAACACCCACAAACTTTTATGTAAATATGTTTATTTTAGACAATAATATATATATATATATTTTTTTTTTTTTATAATAACATAATGCACAGACAGTTAGTGCAGACTATGACAGTTAAGGTTTACACATCAGGAAAGGAGGACCACAGAGCAACATTCATTCAGTTCAGTCACGCTGGACGATGTGACGTCCATGTGATGATTTTTGATGACATTGGGGTATAACTGTACACTACGCCACTGTGTGCGCATGTGTATGGAAAACCAATAGATGTATTTTTTGGATGTACATTATGTGGTAATGATGTGTTGCCCTTAATAGTAAAATATTAGTGGTGTGCAAATGATAAATGTAACATCTCAAGGCATGTCATAGAGAAAATAAACATATCTTAGAGACCTAAAGTAAATAATAACCATTGAAGAATCTTATGGAAATATAATATTCTCTTAACAATATTTTGTACACTGATCAGCAACAGCATTAGTATCCCGGCTCTGACTCGTCGGAGCCTGAAAAGGGATTTCTGGCAACAGGATTTTTTGGTTCTGTGGGTTTGTGGAGGCTGACTCCACATGTTCTTGAGCTGTGCCTCAGCAGTTTTTGTGGTGTGAGAGTCTAAATTTTGTCTATCAAGTGACATAAGCCAAATCAAAGCTGACCAGCTAAACAAAGTATATTAACGAAATAATCCAATTATTTTTCACTTCACCCGTCGGGTGTTTATGTTGTGGCTGATCAGTGTAAATGGAGGACATGGCAAACTATAAATATGCGTTTAAGTAAATTCCAGTGGAGCTTTTCACAGCTCATATCCAGTTATGTTTGCTGATGTGTTTGCCCCAGTTAGCGGCTTTGATCGTGTCAGTCTGCAGGCCAGCACTTGTGTGGGCTCGTGGGGCTCCGTGGCTGGGCCTTTGGACTCCCCTGAAAGACAACATAAAGGACAGGGTTACATTTTAAAGGCTTGATGGTAACGATTGTATGCATTCACTTCATCGCCTTCCCAAGAAGACCATAGCTTGCATGACTGTGGTGACACCTAAAGGGGGCAGCGGTGCACCTTCATTTAGTGCAGCCCACACCCTAACTATAGCTTGGAGCACTGCAGCGGAACTGATCCTACCACCTTTAAATACAAGAGGCATCATTCACTCCAAGTTGTTTATAAGTGTGACCTAACTTTAACTAACTCGCACGCTTTATTTATTAGATTCAAAGGTGATTTTACCACCCTAATTTTAAACTTGGCCAGCTACAATGTGAAATCTTGCAATATGTGCATTAGGGACACTGTAGGTTGCATAATATAAAAATAGCTGGGAGATGGGAGCTGATAACCAAAAAGTCTCAAAGTTACAAGGTGAACACGGGGGATTGGGGTCGGCTTTGTTTTGTAAAGGAACCGCCTGGCTTCTCTTTGAAGTGCTGAATCGGTTCTGCTGACGTTGGATGACTTAATCAAATTGTACTGTACTTTACAATCAGATTTGGCAAAAGGGAAATTCTCGTGATGTTTGGCCCAAATCACTGTATTATAGCGCTCCAAACATTTTGAAGAGACTTTCTTTGAAGCGGGCCCGCTCAGAAGAAATAAACATGCTGATTTGGATAAAAATGATAGCTTTTGTCATCAGATGTAGCCGTGATGTCGCATAGCCTCATTCAAAGTGTGTAATGTTGAATTTTCTGTTTACTGCTGGTGTGATTATTAGAAAAGTGAAGCTCAGTGTTTCCCTGATGGAAAAAGAGAAAAACTGTTTTAAAAACTATTATAATTTTGATTCTTGAAAGTGGTCCTTCTTAGCTGATAAACTTAAGCAACAATGCGAGCATCACAACTAATTCTAACCACCCTGTTCATATATGATGGGCCAGACTTTGTGAAGAAGGCTTGTGGCATTTTATTAGATTTTTATGCAGAAGGGCAGTATTCTTGTCACAGGGTGGCATGTGACCTTTATACAAAACACACAGTGCTTGTAACTATGCTGTGTTTCTTGTGTATTGTTGCCAAGTCATTCATGAAATCGTTAAGATTTGTGAGTGAATCCTGACTTTGAAACTGCTAGTTTGGATACCTCTCCTCTAGACTAAACTTGGCCTCTGTCTGGTTTGATCCCAGGAATTGCCAAACCAGTTCAGTCCAGGCCCTTTTGGGCTCCTTTTATGGTGAACGTCCTAGGGAAATGTGTCAAATGTGGTATTAAGGAGGGGAAGTTTGGTCTGATGTTTGAAATATCTTTCCATTTTAAGTAGTTAGAGAGCAGGTACATTCTCTTAATAGAACAACATTTGTTTTTCCACTGCTAACCTATTACAGCTTTCTGCCCTATTAAAATTAGGTATAGAGCACAAGAGTGACCAAACTTTTTTTTTTCTACTCATGTTCTCCAGTGAAGTCTGAGAAAGTCTTTAAGTAATGAATTTTACGCCTTGAATCGAGCCAACCAGCTACAAGGTGAATTGTGACCAAAAAAAAAAAGAGATTTGATTTGGATAAAAAGAGTCAAAGATACTAAGACTTGTGCACCTAATTAACATTGGAGGGACTACTCATCCCATAAAAATTAAAAATCCCAGTTTTCCACAGCAAATTACTTCCAACAATCCATCCATACTCTTTCACCTACCCTTATCAAGGTTGGGGGGGGCTGGAGCCTATTCCAGCTACCATAGGGCAAGAGGCAAGGTACAAGGTCTGACGCAGGGCTAACACAGAGGCCGACCATTCACACTCACATTCACACCTTTGGACCAATTTAGAATCATCAATTAACCTAACCCTACTAATGGCATGTCTTTGGACTGTGGGAGAGTACCCAGGAAGAAACCACAGGGAAAACATGCGAACAGTGTTGTATGTGTGGTGAGTTTTATGGCTCACAATACTTATGGAGAATATGAATGGGACTTTTACTTCCTGATCATCACTGTTGCACTCTATAGCAGTGTGCAGAAGTGTTTCCTTAACTGTTACATTTACTTTGGATGTTGAGCGAGTCTTACTTTTTTGTTCTCCACTTTAGTTTGGCCATGAACATACGGTGCACTAATCTACTGCTGTGAAGGAGGCAAAAAAAGAAATAAAAATATTGTTCAACTGTTTAAACGCCTTTGAGTTCTGCCTCCAATACTCAGCTGTCCCTAACAATTCTTACCAGTTTAATTATTCACACAGTGTGACAAGATTATGTGGCGATTATGCGGATTTTCCCCTTTAGCCTAAAATAAATCGTCTGTATTTGAGAAAGTGGAGAAGAAGGAGTCGGGAATAAACCAAAGTCCATCTTTGATAATATGAACTCACCGCAGCAGTCTGGGTCTTGGCATAGTTCATATGAGCGTAGAGTAGCACAGCTGTGTCGTTGTGGGATGCCTCCAGTGCGATGGACAGAGCATTGCTTCCATCCTGCAGACAGACAGCAAAGATGGAGAGAGACACATGAGTATCCAGGAGAGCTTTTCAACTAGAGCAGAAAGCTTTACAGTGTGAGAGCAACCATGTGATACACGTTACGCACAGTTGCTCTGTTTTCCAGTTGTTTGGACAGTTTTGTTATTTCTTTTACCATCATGCACCTTTGCTTAACCAGTTAACTATGGGACTTTTATTGCTTTATGATACGTTTGACTGTTTATAATACAGGAAGACAAAATGGTCAGTTTGGAGTTATTTGTTGGCCAAAGAATTTAAAGTACAGTGTCTTGCTACCTTCAGTCTGTGTCTGTTTGGTTTTATGATCCTCAGTCACACTGCTGTCAGTATACTTATCCTTATTTGTGATTGGTCAGATGCTGGCAGCGCCACAGTTTTCTTTTGAACAAAGAGGGGAAAGTTGATAACTAGCTTCATGTGACTGTTTATCCTGACCGCTGATTTTGGGGTAAGTGAATCCAGATTTCGGAAGTTACCCTGGGTATGTTGAACTCGCTTCATCTCCTCAGTTCCCAGACATGTGCAGACTGGGGGATGCTGCACAGCGGTCAACGTGGCCAGGTCCCAGCTTTCATGAAATGTGCCAAGAAATTCAAAGTGAGCCAATATATTTTCTCATTTTAGACATTTGATATGTTTTCTAATATGAGCTTGTTAGATTTGCAAATTGTTGCTTTCCCTTTACATTTTAAACATGGTCCCAACATTTGAAAATGGGGTTTGTAGTAACAATAGTGCTTAATATAACAAGTGAACTGAAAGTAAAAATGGTTCTGCAGTCGTTATTGTATCCACTCAGCCTTGCAGTCAAACTTTGTCACGCAGTTTTGTGTTTTCAGCAGAGAGGGGAGGTGGGGGCTTTTCCTTCCACCCCCTCAGTCCAGCTGTGCTGTACTGAAACAAACCAGGAGCTGCTTGCACCAAATGGCCAACTCATTCTGGCACAGATGTTAATGCTCAAATATCTGTCTGTCTGGCTTCTCTTCAAGCATCTACAGAAATCCACTGTAAAATCACTTTAAAACATACAAGTGGGGAGAAAAGCAGGAGTGTTGAGCAGACCTTTGCTAGCGTTAGCATTTAATGCTGCCAGATTTTTGTATTTCTTTATGGGTTAAGTGGTGAAAAATGCAGAGGACCAGTGTAATGCCTGCAGGACATTGTGTCTGAAATCTGCAAGTGTGTTTTAATTTTTTTCCTCTGGGGTCCAGTCACTGCGTTTCCTCTGTACAGCATCCGTTTTAGTCTAATCTGATTGTAACACCTCAGCTTTCTAAGAAGAAATAGAGAAAAAAGGAAACTACACAGATGAGCAGTTTCCTGAGAAGAGATTAAGCCAAATCCCAGAGAAGAAAGCTCCTGGATGTTTTTTGGCAGCCATCAAACAGCTGGCTTCAGTGTTAGGCTCATGTTTCTGTCATTGCATGAGCTAGTTCAAATGCTTAAATTGTAGAAGTCTTACGTTATCCACAATGGATATGTCGCACCCGGGCTGTTCCAGGAGCAGTTTGACGATCTCAGTTCGGCCGTGCTCACTGGCACACATCAGAGCCGTCGATCCCTCATCGTCCTGCACGTTGACATCGGCTCCACACTCGAGAAGCGCCCGCACCATCTCCTGACGCCCGTGGCTGACTGCTAACATTAATGCCGTCTGGCCTGCCTGCAGAGGTAAAGAATTTTAAATGATTTGGATTAACGAGGGAGCTTCTGCCATTTAAAGCTTGAGTGTTCAGAAGACTTCAGACTGCTTTATTTTTGGATAAATGGCATTCCTGCATGGTGCACTGTTTCCTTTTACTGCTACTGCCCAAAAACAACGCTCACATTTGAGCATCGTGCACTCTTGGTCATTCACTCATTTACTACTCCTCATATAACAGACAGCCGTTTACTCAGTAGCAGGCAGTAAATTAAATTCTAGACACATAATTTGATTTTGCATCGTCACTTGCAGGTGCAGTCACACAATGCTAATTTTTGCCATCTATGAGCTGATTCGATCTAGCCAAAAAGAATCAGAGAAATGGACACTTATGCCAAAATCTGATTTTTTTTTTTTTTAAAGGGAGGATGTCTCCCTAAAGTCCAGCTACAAGGAAAGCTGGCACAACTGAATACACACCGTACTTGAGAATCAAGACGGCAGCTTTGCAAGAAGTATATAAGAAAAGTCTTCTGGCTGTCTGATTAAGCACAAAACTGATCCAAAATGTAAATATAGCAAAAAAATATAGTCTGAAGTCCTTACCCGAAAACTGCATTGCGTGACTCGTGCTTAATTACCCACAGCAACAATAACAAGCAGCAGTAATTGGTTTTATAGACAGTGATGCTATAAATTCGGTCCTATGACTTGGCAGCGGAAAAACCCATCAGGCGCTGTGTCAAAACACATACACTACTCAGCCTGATTAGATCAGCCGGGGAATGAAGAAGACTTCAAGTCAACGGGTTCTCGTGAGTGGCTTCTGTGTCATGTTAGGCTCCACATTTGCTAAATCTAATCTGAGATATGCCCAAATCACACCTCAGGTTTCCAGATTTAAATGTAGTATAGTAGTTTATTACAATAAAACAGCTCCACCTCGAAATAAACAGGGAATAAAGAAATTACAGTAGTCTAAAAACAAATTCACTCATAACATTTTTTATTTATTAAATGTTAATAAGCTTTATAAATCCAATTTGGCTGCTTCACGTTTGCCCTTTTTTGTATAGTTTTTTTATTATTATCCCAGTTTCTTGTGTTCAAATCCATCTAAACTCATTAAAACAAGCCCACAGAGCCAAAACTGCCACATTTAAATGATAACACGCTTCTGGCTGATGGAGCCGACTACACATTCACAGAAGCTCTTTGTGTGCATTTCTAGACATGTTGCGCATTCGCATTTCTCCAGGGCTGAGGTTGTTTTTATTATAAAAATAACTAGTATTGGCATGTTAAAGTCACATGAGTACTAAAACTTTCTTCCACAAATTGTTCCCATCAAATCTTGTGAAATTTCAAAATAAAACGAACAAAATAAATGAGAAATACAGGATATAAGCTACTAGCATACGAAAGAAATGGCTGCTTCCAAATATCTGCACATTCATGTGGCATGTTTGTCCACTTTAAGAGCTGGATGATGAACTGCTGATGACTTGCCTGGCTGGCCTTGGCGTTGACATTACCCTGACTGAAGAGCTTCTTGACCACAACCATGTCCTCCTCCTTCTTCACAGTTGACAGAGCAGCCAACATGATGGCTGTGTAGCCCGCCTTGTTCTGCTTATCCACAGAGCACACACCTGTAGGAGATATGCTTATCACTTATTGAAGCGTAAGGACAGAACCGTCAGCAGGTATTAGGTTAGTTGACCAGTGAATAACACTGAAATGCCAATGAAAATGCTGTCACTATGTAAATAGTGTATAAAAAGTAACAATATATTCCAAAGATGGCGCTTTAAATACATTTGTTGCTCATGACTGAGTAAAAATGAGTTTTGCTGTGGTGGTATTCTGATTATCATTTCTTTAAAAAGATATCATCAGATTAGGAAAAGCATAATATGTTCAACTTATATTTCGATCATGTATATCAGCACTTTGGCTGAGACTTTATGTCTTTTAAATGTGCTATATAAATAAAGATGACTTGACTTGACTATATACACATGGTGAAAGTCTTTTAAAAAATTAGATGTGTGCAAGTAACCAACTTTGTGATCACAATAACTCAGAACAAGAACGAGACAACATAGGATTTTCAAATTGATACCACAGGTCCATCTATTAGGAGGCTGTCAACTGTCAGTATTATTTATTTATTGATACTCTTGGCTCTGCATGATTATGTAGAGATGGTATATTCTTAAGAGGGTCAACTCTGGCTGCGCGCACAGCAAACCCACCCTCTTGCTGTTTAATTCAGTTCTGTTTTATTTATACAGCATCAAATCACAACAACAGTCAACTCAAGGCGCTTTATATTGTAAGGTAGAACCTACAATAATACATACAGAGAAAACCCAACAATCATATGACCCCCTATGAGCAAGCACTTTGGCGACAGTTGGAAAAACTCCCTTTTAACAGGAAGAAACCTCCAGCAGAACCAGGCTCAGGGAGGGGCCAGTTGGAGTCGCAGCAGATGGCTGCCCCTCCCTGAGCCTGGGAGTGACGGCCTCCCAGGCTCAGGGTCGGCCAGATGGCTACAGCCAGATGGCTCCAGATGTTCAAGGTTGCTCCAGATGATTGGCTGGTCCTTGCAAACAGAAGGCTTGCAAACCAGCCAATCATAAGCAAGCGTGTTGTAAAGGAAGCTCGCCTTCAAGCGAGAAGAGTTGAACACTTGCAGTGCACACGCCATCAGTTTGAGTTATACATTGGATGATCTGAAGGGCTGTCCCTGAGGTCCAGTATAACATTTACAACTATTTTGAGATATGAATCATGCAAAGCTACTCTAGCGCAATAAACACAAGGAGCTAGAAATGAGCGTTACCGTCCATTTTAAATTCCCCTTTATATCTGCCTCAAACATTCATTATTTTAAATGTATACACAGCCCCACAGTGCAAACAAGAAAGTTCTCCTTGACTGTTAGTTTATTAAACAAAAGGATAGTGCTACACTCACTGAAAAAGCAGGTTTCATTTCATTGTTTACTTCCTGTGGCTGCACATTAAGTGTGTGCTGTTTTTTGTTTTTCTTCCCATGAGGCATGGTGATAAGGTCGACAGGAATTGGAAGTGGACACAGAACCACATGTTGCCTGATCTTATCAAACCTCAAATCAAGACAGTAACAGTGCGCAAACATTAAATTCAAGTCAGGATTATCCTTCACTGAAAGCTACTGCTAACCTGTGTCCAGCAGCAGCTCCACCACACCAAAGTTAGAGTGAGAGACGCTGTAGTGAAGAGCTGTATTCCCATTGCCATCTGTCATGTTGACTGCGTGCTCCAGCAGCATTGATGACACCTCGGAGAACGCCATCAGGTAGTCGGAGACCCGCGGCGGCTGAGCCATCTTCGCGCTGGAGATACGAAACCACTCTAGTTGGACAGTGTGTGTGCTGGAGAGCTGGAGGTGAGGACGGGAAGTGATATATACTTATAAACTGCAGACAAGTGCCTGAAGTAGATCGGCATACAGCATAGACACAAGTAAAACTGCTTTTGTCTCAAGTTTTTAGTAGCCAGTTAGACCCAGTGAATGAGTTTTTCTTTACATGATGGCTGTTTTTCTACAAGGCACACTTTAGTAGTGATGAGGTTAACAGTTTACCCCCCAGAGTTCCTACCAGGCAGTCATGAATCACTAATTCAAGACACATTTGGCACTTTCTCAGAATATTTTTGCTTTATAATCAAGAGAAGGAGCAAAAAGTTTGATTTTAAACACTTTTGCATGATTAAATATTGCCTCACTGCAGGCGAAAGCGTTACGTGTGTCCCCTGGAGGTAAAATTGAAAAAGAGGAAAGCAGGGACGCACCACTTCCTTACTCTTCAGTGTTTTGAGGTCATCGTTTAGGTGGTTCTTCAGAATGAGACAGGCTTCTCGCATTTTTGAGCTCAACTCAAATCTGTGACAAAGCAGACAAACGTGTGAAGTTGAAACACAGAAATAAAATCGCATTTAGAGGATAAGGCCTTTTGTTCCCTCCATAGATTACACTCCAAGTCAACAAAACTACATTTACTTTCATTTTCATAACAACCCACTTTTCTTTCACACCATCAGATGAATAATTTGCAGCTCTCAGCGTTTCCTCATCAGTGTCACTCTCATCCAGGTTAACGTTTCTCTCCTCCTCTGACGTTTCTTCCTCCAAAGCTGCCTCATCTTCTTCAGTGCTGTCCAAGCACTCGCCTTCGACACTTTCTCCAGAAGAACTCCCATCTTCCTCCTCTTCTTCCTCCTCTTCTTCACTGGATGTTGATTCATACCTGGAAGAGCCAAATATCTCAAATATCTCATCTCTGGCTCTTTATTTCTCATTTGTTAAACCTGTCACCTGGTCAAAGTGTCATTTCCCTCCTCGAGACTACTTGTCGCCACTTATTTTATTTTTGCAGAGGTAAAAATAAAAATTTGGTTTCACATTACAGTAACTCACCCTCCATTTAGAATACCAACAAACTGCAGGCTCTTCTTGCTGCTGCTGCGGTTGTCCCCTGCGTTATTCCCGTCTTTCCTCTTCATGATTGATTTCAGCAAACCTGTTGCCATAAAAGAGGGAAAAAAAATAGTGAAAATGCTTGTGCATGAGCAGAACGTGTCTCACACACAAGCAGAAGGTTCAATGAGAGATGCAGGCAGCACAGTTAGGCTGCAGTCAATCAGCATTAGTGATGACAACTAATCCACAGATGAGCCATTCAGTTCAGTACTACATCTCCCACTAGCAGCACACTCGCTAAGCTAACATAGCCTGAAAGAGGCTAGCAGAAAAGCAACAAATGCTTGAAGCCAACTGACTCAAGCCATCCAAAAAACCTTTATTTGTATGTTTGTAGGAGTTTTTAAATTTAACTGCAAATTGTGATCAAGTGAGCTGAAAAACTGAGCGCTGAAAAACTGAGCACTGACAACAGAGCGCCTTCTCTCGCTCTCACTATCGGTATGTTGCATGTAGCAAGTGTGTCCTATGATCTTGTGTCGACTTTCAACTAAAAGAATTTAGATGTCTAAATTATGACTTAAACTAAAATCAAAATTAATACTGCTAATGGGAATTTATTATTTTTGTTACTTATTATCTTACTAAATAATTCGTGATGCTGAGCCTGACATTGCCTTGCACATAAATGATTCAGCCTCGTTCTAACAGTGATAATTACAGGTCATTACTGCATCACTGGGTTTAAGTTAGGATGTCTGGATTGAATCAGAACTGGGCAAAGTTGGATCCATGCATCCTTAATGTTAACTGCAAGCCAATATTTGACCCCAGCTCATAAAATCAGCAGCAAAGCCAAACAGTACTTACCTGTCTTGGTGCTGCTGGCTGCAGTCTTCTCTTTTTCATCTCCTCCTTCATTCTTAACCTTTCCAACTACTTCTTCTTCTTCTGGTGAGACCTTGTATTCAGCAATAGTCAGCTGTCTCCTCTTTGGTACAGTAACTTTTTGCTCTTCAGTCTTTTCCTCGCTTAAGTTCTCCCATTGACACCCGGTGCTAACGAGTACAACCGGAGCAGCCGGAGCTCGTTCTTCTAGTGTCTCTAATGCATCGGTCTGGGTGCTTTGTTCACTTTGATCTGACTCTGCGTCTTCACCTACACATGCATCGGCCATCTCCGGATGACAAGAAACTGCAGTGTGCTTTAATGCAGAAGTTAGCGTTTCTACTTGGGCATTTGTCATGACAGGTTTGGCAAGAACCCCCTTCTCAAATGTGATTTTGGAGATGTTTTCCTCCATCTTCGCTCTAAGAACTCCAAGGTCTTTATCTGCAACACTCAACCGATCCTCTAGAGCCACAATGGACTCCTGTTGGAATTTAATGGTGTCCTGTAAGGTGTCTATCTCCCGCTGTGCTTCTGTGGTCAGGCCAAGTAGTGACTCCATGACCCAAACCTCAGCCTCTTCTGTCTCCACTCTGGTTTGAATTCCCTCCTCCTGAACCAGGGGGGGTTCGGTTTCTGTGCATTTCTCACAAACATTCACTCTGGTGCCCTCACATGCATCTTTTACACCATCTCTGTAGTATAAAACAACTGAGGCCATCGGCATGTCGTCCCCTACAGCCACTGACTTCTTCTGAATGACTGTTTTTTCAGGGGCGTTTACTAAAGTCTTACTTGACAATTTGAGGGGTTTCTCCTCTTTCCCTTCAAACTTTTCTGTCAGCCTTTTCAGCTCACCAGATTTTACAAAGCCTTTGTGTCCAGTCGAGGTCGGTGAAGTCAATCGACTGTGTTCAGTTTGGAGGATCTCTACGGTTTGGGTCGATGTCTCTGTAAACTGTTGCTTTTGTTGGGCCAAGTCCATGGCTGCCTTCTTCTCCTGCAGGGCTAACAAGAGCATATCTTTCTCTGCACGAAGCTTGGCCACTTCTTTCTCAAGTGCAGGAACACCTTTTACCCTTTCTTCCATCTCCTTCAGCTGCTTCAAGGCTGTTGCCATTTGCTCTCTAACTGTTTGCAGTTGGCTGGGTGGGATTGGGGTCACAGTGGTGCCAGCAGCTGGAGTGCTGCGCCCAGATGTCTGAGGACTGGGTTTGGTCCAACTACTTTGCAGAGACTGCATGGCTGGAGAGGGTAAGAGCAGTTTGGGAGGATCTGCAAGCTGGAAGCGGGCGCCATTTTGGTTCTGGTGGGTTTGTTCCTGCTGTAGCCTCCGGCTGGTTTCCAGGAGAGTCCGCTCAACTCTGGGGTTACGTTGTGGTGGAGGCGGTGGCACTTTTGCCCCAGCAGATAACGGAGGAACGTTGAGAAAAGTTACAGGGGAAAGGGAGACTGTCTCGCAGGGAGCTGACCCAAGCCGGTTACGAGGCGGTGGTGGCGGTGGAGCTCTGCCATCTTCGCTGACCGGGGATGAGAGCGACTCAGTGGACGTCCAGCCACTGGTACGCCCCCCCACACCCAGACTCCTCTGGGAGAGTTTTAGCCCCCGACCAGAGCGTCGAGAACTGATGGGTGCGCGACGGAGGTTGTGCCCACTTTCTATCTCTTCTACATATTTAAGAAAGTCTAGATCCAGCTGAAATCCATACGGAGTCTGGACAGAGTAAGAAGCTTGCTGATCTGCTTCCTCTTGACTGGGGTAATGGAAAGGCGAGCCTAGATCTGAAAGGGGAAAGACATGTTATGGACAACACGTGATCGGTACTTAAGAAATTCCAGAGGGCATCTCTATAAACAGAAGTTACATTTGATTTCAGTGAGACCTGGCAATGAGTTGAATTGCGTTTCCTTTTTAAACATGTGCATGTGTTTATTTCCTTTGTCTATATCCGTCTTTGCCAGCTGCTTCCTCACCGACTTCCTTATCATCCTGGTATGCATGATCAACAGTTATATAAACAAACCAGGAGTGTGATTGTAAAGCACTGTGTCATCATATAACTAACAGATTTAAAACCCCTCAGGCTATCATCAAAATATTACACCTTTACAGGAAACAAAAAGCACTCCTGTTGTATTCGCCAAAAAGAAAAAAAAAGAAAGAAAAGGAGAAAAAAAAGCCATGTCTAATTTTTTGGCTTCAGCATTGGCAAAGGTTAACACTTTCAGCGTTATTTCATTATCAACTGTAGTTGATTTAGGTGTCTTAAAGATGGATCAAACTCAGATACTCTGATATCATCTTAATTATCTAAAAGTGGTTAGTTCATCACCGTCCTGTCAGGTCAAAACAAATTACTTGATACATTTCTAAAACTACATGTTGCAAACCCCAAACCTCATCTCTAGGCGTAACGAACAGAAATATTCAGGACACACAATTACATTTGACAGTAAGCTTTAATTTCAATAACAGAGACTTCTTTATGGAGTTTCTTACCAGGCAGCTTTGGGTTAACTTGCACAGACTGAGTCATTTTTCAGGACGAGGACCTTTCAGGACGCACACAGCTTTGAATCAACACCTGGCTTAAAGAAAAAACAGATCAACATGAATGCATTTGTTATAGATGACCTTGAACCAAGACCAGTGGAAATAAAGGAAGCTATAAAGTATTGCAGAAGTAAGTTTCTGCAAGTAGAATTTAGACTTTCCCATCTTTTGGGGTTTTTTTCTTAATTGGTAAAATTTTTAGACCAAGCGCAGAGGATCGTCTTTTATGGGTTGTAAGAACATGTAACAACCTGTGACTGAATTCAAAAGATTGCGAATCCCCGTCTTTCACTTTAACTAATTCAGTTAAACCCAGTTAGTTGCTGTTAGTCAGCCTTTTTAAGAGAGGTTTCTTTGTTTAGCCACAGTAGCTGTCTCTGCTGTTACTAACTGATTCTTCTTCAGGAAATATAAAATGCTTCCTGTGCTGCAGAAAAGCTCCTAGGTCCAAACAGCATGTGGAAAACTCTGAATTTTGGACACCAATTACAAAGGAAAAACGTAAAAGTGAAGCTTAAAACAGTGTGTTAAAGAGGTTCATCTCTGTCAGCCACTCACTGATTAATTCATGCAGCTGGAGCTCAGGTCGTTCGTCCTCCCTGCTTCACACAGCCCTGTGAGACAGACATCAATTATCATCATAAACAACTTCTGTCACAACAGAGGAGAACTGAATAAACTGATGAGTCAACATTTCTGTATCAGTTTGCTGAAGATGAAAATGATGTGAATCATCACATCTGGCTTCTACAGTGACCAAATGCCACACACAACCTTCAGTGAGAGCATACTGGGAAAAATGGTGGGTCAATACAGAGGAAGCTGTTCTACAGCTTTGTCTTTTTTCCTGTTAATCTACCACACACACACACACACACACACACACACTGCTATGATACAGATCAGAATGCACTCTCTCGCAGGTATTTTCTTTTTGGTTTGTTTTTGGGCATTTCAACCTTTCTTGCTGAATAGGACAGTGAAGCAGACAGGAAAGGACACAAAAAGAGCAGGAATGCCATACAGGAAGTGGATTTTTTGTTTTCAAGCCTCGAGTTGTTTGGCTCACTCTCTGTCACTACAATACTACAGGATGTTGCTACTTCCCACCAATAAATAGTCAAGGCAAAAAGAAAAACGTTCATTTCAAACAAAGAGATAATTAGTGATGCAATAAGAATTTGCATTGCAGAAAGAGTTCGCTTTTAGACTAGAAACCGGCTAAGCTCACCACCAACTGATGCGCACAGAAATGAGAGATTTTACACAAAACAATAAACTATTATAAAATTCAAAAGTTGTTCTGTGGAGAAAGCCAACTCTGATTACAGTCTGATGAGTTAATGTCAAACAGTTGAGGCTGGCATTGAGTCCATGTCTACGATTGTTTTTTAATACACCAACATGTCCCCTCACTTCCTTCACTTGCATCTCTTTGTTCGTTCATGCATTTTATTTATCCATCCATTTAGTTTTTTTTTTTAATTGTTGATCAGTTAGCAGTGTTTCTGCCATATAAATGAAATGAAATCAAAGCTGGGAGCCTTCACACTGGTATGAAAATGTCAAAAAGTTTGTTGCCCATCATTCATACATAGATGGATTACAATCACTAATAGTCTGGTGAAAGTTTTACATATAACGCTGTTAGATTAGTAAGTTAATAATTACCAATAGCCGTATTACTGTTATTACTTTTAATATTTACTTTTTTTTTTTTAAACCTAATGCATCGGTGTATACATTGCTTCTCAGACCATTTACCTACTTGCATCGTTATTACCTACAACATGTTGCACTAAATTGGCCTGCCCAATCTACAGTGTTAAATTTACACCAATCAGATTATCCATTATATTGCATCTCACTGTGCTACTGCATGAATAAACTATGACATGTTGAGGCGCAGCATATACATAAAAACACATCAAAAGACGTGCACATTGGATACACCTTTGCTTCCTCGCTCATGTAATCCCGCTTTGTCACAGTGTTTATGTCTACTGGAACTGAAGCACATGCCACTATCACCTGTGATAGTGGCTGGCATCTGAGATGGTCAGTGTTACTGGCACAAACCTTGTTTTGGTGTGTTTCAGATTTAAAGCAAAGACTGGATACAGGAAGTTGAATACAGCAACCTGACCCACACACACACACAATCAAAACTTTAGAATACACGTAGTCATTCATTTAGTTTACAACACACACTGTTGTAGCCATGCACAAACACACACACACACACACACAGACGTTTTTCAGTAGCCTCAAGCACATTCCTAACACACGCTGTTGAAGCACGCCAGTCGTCCTTCTAGCTGGCAGACTGCTGATAACCTATAAACACACACACACACACACACACACCATCTGACAGCTCAGACTATAACACACACACGCACACACACACATACACCTTTTACTGTCAAAGAAAAGCCCGTAAACATTCACACAGGCTGCTGACTTACTATTCCAAATCTTGTCAGAGGTTGTTGTCTCGGACTTGATATTAAGAACCTTCAGTGCAAAGAAAAGAAAGAATGCAGTACTGATAAACGTTTCATATCACCCACTGCTTTGGGTCCTGTACTACAAAGCAAGTTCAACATACCCGGGATATCTTTTTTTTTTCCTTATCAGGCTTCACTTTCCCCAACATCCACAATCAGGCTAAGCGGTCACACGAAAGCGGTTATCAATAGTTAACCCAGGGTTTGTTAATCTAGCTGCAAGCTCATTGCCATGAAAGAAATTTGGCATTGGCATCTGACCAGTCACAAACACGGACAGGTCTACCAGCAGCACGTCAGCATTGGCTCAACGCAGCCCGCCACTCCTGTAATTGGCCTGTTCAGCACCACCAATTCCTCCTGGGAATTCCTGGAAACCCTCAGTTTTTGAATCTGTCAGTGAGATCATTTATCAGCAAACATCGCCTCAGTGTAAGGCATATAATGCATTTAAACTGACCGCATGGTTATGAACATGTATAATATACGTGGGCAATGACGCTGGTCACTTACGAAGGTTAGTTCATAGACTGTAGAGAGGTTACAGAGGTAACCCGCCGTAGACAAGTATGAACAAATTTCCTGTTTGAGGTTCATAAATACAACAGAGTACATATTGACAATAAACACCACTGCACTCTACACTCTGTTTTCTGAAGCAGCTGACGTCTTAACATCTGTCAGACAATGTTCAAGATTCTCTGTGAGTCTGTTGTGGGAGGTTGAGGGTCGCAGATGCCAACAGACTCAAACTGTGGCGATGGAGCTGGACTCCCTTGAGGTGGTGTCAGAGAGGCGGATGTTGTCAAAAATAAGGACAATGCTGGACAACACCTCCCACCCACTCCATGACGTGCTGGCCAATCACAGGAGCGCGTTCAGTGAGAGACCGAGATTACCCAAATGCATCACTGAACGACACAGGAAATTATTCCTGCCCGTAGAATTCCTCCATATAATGCACAAGTATACACATCCTCTACGGAAAAAAAGTACCACATGATAAGAGGGGCACTTCAGTGTTAACCACATATATATCAAATTTGTGCAATATACTGGGATATTTAGAAGCAGAGCCATTTGTATCTATTAGAGCTATTTTGTTATACATTATTAACTAACTCTGTAATAAGTTATAATATTTAGTCTAGAAAGAAAAAAGTTAGGAAAAAAACAAAAGACTTTAATGTATGAACTTCTTAAGTTACCTGGCTAAGTAGTACGGGCTTCAGGTTCCCCTCAGTGTTTCAGCCACATTTGACTCCCAGACCACAGCAAACACAACTCTGCAGTGTCTGTGCCAATCAGACAAAAGCCACACAAAAGCTTTTTAAAGATGTGGCCTCGACCAAAGCAGAGAGCAGTACTTTGAGTTTTTGTATTGGCTTTGTTTAAAACCAAACACAAGCTAAGCAGAGCTCAAAAACAAGTCACAGAAATCTCGATTCAGCGGTCACTTTTAGTAACATGTAATCCTACCTACAGTTTTTGTCTGAGCACTTGTCTGCAGTTCACAAATTGAGTCTCAGTGTTGTTTGCTTTAGTAAGGTTCAGTTAGCCTGTTGTTATTGAATCCAGTTAGGTATGAGTCACAGTGCTGTGTGTTGTATATTTTCCTCCTCCTTGCAGACTGTGGTATTATGTCCATATTTACTAATGTGAAGCTGTTGGATTACAGGTTCAGTAGGGCTGTTTTAACTTGCTGAATAGAAGAAAGGACACTCCTTGAAAATAGTGCGTTTTCCATGATTAAATTGTTGGCTTAACAGTTCAAGGCTGACACTAGTGACGCAACCATGTTAATACAATTCCTTCAGAAATGCTTCCACTTCAGATAATTTGTTTACCATACGGAGCAACACAGAAAACAAACTGAAGAAAATACTGTAAACAAGCAGCTGCTGTAAGAGGCGCCATTCAGAAAGTAAAAAACAAAAGAAGGAGACTTTTACTCCCGAAAATCAACACCACATTGAATGCTGAGACATGCTGAGGCATTACTCATTAAAGAGAGTCACCCATTGTGCTGCAAGTTCATTAGATTGTTAAAACAAGAGTCAACGGGCAAGTCTCCTCTTTCTCACTTCTTCCTCCACAGCTCCCTTCATTTCCTCCCTGCTCCTCTTCGTTTCCCAGCTCTTGTCTTCCTCATCTTAACCCTTCTCACATGACTTTTCCCTTCTTCTCACCCCCAGCTATCCACAAGACACACACAGACACACACACACACACACACACATACACACACATTTCCCTCGGCTCCTCTCATGTGTTGCTGTTTTTCTCTCTGATTTGATGACAGCAAATTACAGACTGCGGAAAGAAGCTGCATTCCTTCCCTCTACACCCCGAGCCCTAACCAGCTGAGAGCCCCGCTGTCAAGTCTTTCACACTCTCAAACACACACGCAGAGTCTGAGGCTGGCACAAAACACACCGTATACACAAAGATATACAGCTGTGACACCGTTTTAAACAGCTCAAAAGTGATTGTTTTCACACCACTGATAACTTTTAGGGTGTTTTTGTTGTTGTTGTTTTAACTGTGCAGTTTAGTGCATTGCTTTTGTTCTTTTGTCTTCTTCGAATTTCACATCTGCCAATGAAATTGGTGCCCACTGCTCTGAAACCGGAGTCTGAGAACGTGGCCAGCTGGTCACGAGCACGGCAGACAAGAATGTGTTTCAGTGCAGGAAATTCAGCAGTATTTTGTTTATGACATGGTTTTGTTTTAACAATGCAGGTCAACCTAGAGAGGACCTTCCTGTTTAAATAAGGCATTACTTAAACAAGTGATCAAATTAGCTGTTAATTACTCCAAAATAATTAAATCCATTTTCACAGGGGATTATTAATCTAATCTATTCAATTCAATTTTATTTATACAGCGTCAAATCACAGCAACTGTCGCCTCAAGGTGCTTTATATTGTAAGGTAGACCCTACAATAATACATACAGAGAAAAACCCAACAATTGTATGAGCAAGCACTTTGGCGACAGTGGGAAGGAAAAACTCCCTTTTAACAGGAAGAAACCTCCCACAGAACCAGGCTCAGGGAGGGGCGGCAGTCTGCTGCAACAGGTTGTGGTGTGAGAAGGAAGACAGGATAAAGACGGGCTGTGGAAATTATCTATTAGCTTATCTAAAGTAATCTATTACTTTCCAAAAGTAACCTTCTCAACACATGCAATGCAGCATCCTAGTTCCTACCATTAATTTATTTTAGATAAATGTTTTTTGTTGTTGTTGGTTTGGCTAATTTTTGATTATTGCTTGTCTGAATGTAAAAGTTTTAAAACAATACAACACATCTCAAATGTCACACTACAAGTTTCAGTGAACAAACTTGTCAATTTATTCACAAAACATCACAAACTGAGGGTCACATCCTTCAATCTCTGAATTCAGGTTTATAAAATCAAGCACCACACAATCTGCTTTTAGACACATTCCTGAAACAATGAGTCATTCTAGAAAATTCACTGAATTAAAGCATGGTACTGTAATGACATGCCTTGCAACAAAGTCAGCTTTGTTGCAAGGCATAAGGAGTATTACTACAAAATGGAATTGTTTAGGATTTACAGCAACTCAGCCACAAAATGTCAGACTACATCAAGTAACAGCACATCGCCAAGAGCTGAGGCACATACTTTGTCACCAACGCTCTGAAAACTCAATAACTGCAGCGCTCCAAACCTCCTCTGGTATTAACATCAGCACAGAAACTGCACAGTGGGAGCTTCAGTGGAATGGGCTTCTGTGGCTGAGCAGCTCCAGTACTTCCCATGTCAACAAACTCTGTTTTTAACAAATTCTTAAAATTTGGTGCTGAACTGCAGTCATAGCTACTGGAGCTCTACTCTGGTGCACAGAAACTAAACGCTTAAAAAATAAACACCTGTAAGCGGAAATTAATTAAATGCTCCAACTGCCTGTATTTGTGGGTGCTTTTGACAAAGTTTGACTCGTGTATCTTTAACCAAAGAGTCTAATACTTTTGATAAGTATGAACATTGTGTGCTGTAATTTGGAAGAGGCTGGCTCAGGTAATGGCAGCATCGGTGGGTACACTAGCAGTGCAGTTCATGAGCTTTTGATTTCAGGATTGTGTTTTGTCTCCTGGTTTGAATCCAGATCAGCACTAGTAAACTACAGGGTTTTTTGGCCAGCTTTGTGCAACAGCTACAGAACACAGTCATGTAATGTGTCCAAGTAGCCACCAGCTGGTGCTACAATATATGTATTATGTTACTTTTACTGAATATATTTGAAACATAAAGACCTGTTCAGCTGCTGTTGTCTGCTGGCACAAGCTACACTTTGGTATCATTACAGCTTGTTGTGCATTTCTTGATTTTTGTAAGCTGACATGACTGAGTGGAAGACACCAGCATCATGCCACTTGATTGATATAGGAGTACAGGCTCCAAGAGATGGAGATGGTCCACTCTCTTGGACCACTCAGACAAAACCTCTACATCACCACCTGTATTTTCTGAGTGGGGACGGCCATTATCCAGAACACTACTGCAGCGAGTTTGGGACACTCTCAGAGCCAGCCAGCGTAAACGATGAAAGACTTAAAATCATCTGAATATCCACTGTACATCATAGGATGTGGTACAAAATATGTCTATATGTTAGAACAACAACAGCTTGATTCTAAGACATTCAAAAGTAAAACTAAACATCCATCATGCAGTCATACCACTAAACACACCTGAAATCTATCACCTGCAAAAATTTATGCACAAAGTTGCAAGCATAAGCATATACCCCCAAACAGTCATGACAGATGGTTGCCCCTCCCCGAGTTTGGTTTGATTGTTTCCTCCTGCTAAAAAGGACGTTTTCCTTCCCACTGTTGTCAACTACTTGCCCATAGGGAGTTGTTTGATTTTAGGGGTTTCCTCTGTGTTACAAATCTTTTCGATTACAATATAAAGCACATATTTGGAGCTATATAAATCAAATGTAATTGAATTTAACTGAATGAAAAAACTAGCACTCAAGTTGTAACCACTTAGCAAAGTAATGAATAAAATCTTATACTTTCCCAAAATTGCTTCATTGCATCAGTCAGAGCTTCTCTGCACTGGATACACAACCCAGCATGTTAGTTACCTTTAAGCTACAACAAAAATGGAAAATACAGAATAATATTGCTGCATTTTTCCCCCTCAAAAAACATGGAACATGAGAGGAGAGGTATCCTGTAATCCCAGCACACACTCATAGATGTGTTATTAACGAGGACTGGAACACTGGTCAGTCCAGATCATGGAGGAGGAAACATGTTGGTTGGAGAATCGGAGCCATGTTTTGAAAGAATGACCTCATCCCCAACGGCACCCTTTTCCTGAGAAGGGAGGCCTGTGAGAGAAAAAGGGAGAGAGACGAGGAGACACGACTAGACTGATGATGAGGGGGAGAGGGACGAAAGCCAACATCCTCTCCCTGACAGTAGCTTGTACAGTCTGACTGATTTGCACGAGAAAAAAAAAAACTCATTCAGAAATGTGAACACGTACAGACTAATAGAAGCAAAGATACAAACCAGACACACACTCATCCACCCCAGAATGGATACCATACACTTATCATTATATAATTTAACTTTCATGATGTTTGGATCAAGTTTTGATCCATTAATCTGTGCATTTTTACAATGCATTACAGGCATTTGTAGATTCAAAAGAACTTGCATTTCCAGACACACAGCTAGAATAGTCTAGAGTAAAAGAGCTGCTTAGAATTTATTTACCTTCTTGTTTGAAGGTAACTAATACACTTTCTGTACATCCATGAATATAATAATTGAATCATCCTGCCTGATTTTGTCAGCAATCTTCATTAGTCTATTTTTAGCACCAAATAACAACAACAGTCACCTCACGCTGCTTTATATTGTAAGGTACAGGCTCTACAATAATAAAGAGAAAACCCCAACAAACAGACAAGTGCCTAAGAGCCAACACTTGGCGACAGTGGGAAGCAAAATATCCCTTTTAACAGGTAGAAACCTCCAGCAGACCAGGCTCGAGGAGGGGCAGCCATCTTCCAGGGGTTCATTATTTTTCCCTCCTCCTCCACCCTCATCAACACCTCATCCTTTTTCTCCTCACTTTAAGCCTTATCTCATGAACTGAAGTCAGGGCTTTAAAACGTGAGAAACGTGCAGAAATTACTTGACAAATTGTTATCAGATTAGACATCACTGGACAGCTGACAACAAGCCAGTTAAACAACAATAGCTGGTTTTAAGCTAATGTTAGCTTAAAACCTGCTAATGTCATGTTTGAATATCCTATAATCACACTTTCTCTCTGAAAAACATTTTGATTACATTCTCACATCATATAATTTATTTACTAAGCATCTAACAATGTTAGAGCCATTTCAAAAAAAACAAAAACAAAACAATCACTAACAGCAGCTAACAGTGGCTAACAGCAGCAAAAATAGATTATTATAAAAATTATGCACTTGAATTGGAACAAGTAAGAAAACAGAGCTCAGTTGACTACGACTTCCAATCTACTGACATCTAGCGATGAGATTTTACACACCATGTCTTTAAACAAAGCTCAATGGACATTAATAAAAACTTAAGCTTCTGAAATAGAGGTGAGAGTTTCTGTAATTACCATTTAAGAATCAACTCTGCATTTAGAGAGTTTACAGGTCCGTTTTCAGAATCTTTACTTCCAATCTGATAATCTGAAACTTAAAGCCAGTTGCTAATCCTGAGCTTAATCTCTTTCACAGGAGTCCTCATCCTCATGAGTACATTTAGGCTGAACAGAAACTAAAATGAAGCTCAACACATCCACACACAAGAGGCCTCTCTGCTGCTTGGATAGGTCTACAGTTTCCTGAAGGGAAGCCCACTACTCCCCCAATAAATTCCCACCACCACACACCTCCATGCCCTGTGAGACCTCCTATTGTCTCCCAGTAGGAACTGGGAGGGGGGTAGAGGGTCCTGCCAGGAAACCCATCAGGCCGTCCTGAAAGCTGCTTCCTGAAGGCAGCAGGAAAGCATGAAGCATACGACAAGCAAAAGCTGAGAGCTGAACAAACACATACACACAAAGAGGTATCCTGCCGCCAACACCAGCACTGAATCCGCCATCACATGATGCATCACACTGAGGTTAGGTAACATGTTATCACATTTGGCAAGAACACGAGCATTTAAGTGTTTGTGCGCGCTCTCACTCACGGTGACACACAGTCACCTCTGTGCAGGGTTTTTGCCGCCAGATGCCATTTCCTGTGTCATAAATAACAAAATTCACCTCAATCGCATCTTGTTGTGTACAAAAAAAAGTTTTATTTTTTTGAAAATTCACAATCAGGTTGAATTCAAACATCACATGTGTCCCGCCTCCCCCTCCCTCTTCCTTCCAGATTCTCCAGCAAACACACACAATCATGCACATTCAGCCTCCACAATGAGGCATTATGCCTCTTTGGTTGTGACGCTGTTTTCCAAAAGTTTTCTGAGGCCTGGTTGTTTTCTTCAAACCATCCCACCCCCTCACCCTCCACTCCCTTTCGTGCTCCTTGCCTTTTTTTTTTTCCTCCCCCATTTCCAGGTTCAAAAAGCCACAAAGTGAATTTAGCAAAGTCGTGGGGGAACTGCGGCACTTGAGTTTTGAACATGGAGAGCCGAAGCCGCTCCAACGGTGGATCTGAAGCTGAAGAGATCCTGCTGAATAAAGGAGAGAGGGCGGACGCTGTCCACAGATGGTGGCATCAAATAATGACTTCTTCTTCCCACTGACTCCACTTCTGTCAGATCTCATCCATCTGTGATCTCTTAAATACCTCACCGTGTCCTGCTTCCTTAGGTTTCCTTAAAAGCGTTAACATTATGGTTTGTTGGACGTTGTCACTCCAAATGCAAGGTCAAAATACCGACTGTTTACCGAC